CGCCCTTTGCTGTCCCCGCCGCGCCGGCCAGGCTCAGCAGCCGGGCGTGGCGCAAACGCAGCGCGGCCAAAACGAACCCCCGGCTGCTTGCTCCCCTTTGCCACCACGGCTGGCAAGCGGGCACAGCAGCCGTTTCGCGATTGACTGTTGTTTCTTGCAGGTGCATTGTTGAGAGTGCATCGCAGCGCGTCTTTCGGGCGCTGGCATGGGGGTTGCAGAGGCCGGCGGCCGGCCCAAGCGCGCGCCCGCTCAATCCATGGGCCGGCCCCAACCTCTTGCCCCCCTCTCGAGCCGCCGAGGCGCGCGCGGCCCAGTTGGCGGACATTCTAGACAGCTCAGCTAGCATCTTTGATAGTGTTTTGCACACCAGGTCATTCATTGCACACAGTTGTGCACCCTGGCTTTAGACGTGGGCCTTCATTCCCTTTGGCGGCCGCGCGCTGACGCAGCCGCGGCTACAGCGCTCGGAGAGCGAGGGCTCCTCGCGCGGCGTCGCCTGCGCAGGCGGCCCCGCTGGGTGTCCAAGCACACGCCCACGCGTGGGCGAGACCCTGCGCTCGTCTGTTGTGGCGGCTCCCCGCCGCCGCAGCGGCCGCCGCCATGGCAACCGCTGCGCCGGAGGCCCGGGTGGGTGCGCGCTGCACCCTCGGAACGCGACTGCTTGCCTTCTGAGATCCCCGCTCGGCACGCCCGGCCCTGCGATATCCCGCGGCCGCCCTCTTGTTGCGTGCCAACAGAGTGCAATGCGAGGTCAGCAAGTTGAGCCAAAAGCCCTTGGCGCAGCAGAGCTCAAAGCTCGCTTCATCGCCGGCGCCGGTTTGGCAGGCAACCGCCTGGCCTGCCTGCAAGCTGCACATGTGCTGCAGGCTTGCATTCGGTTGCAGCACAACCTTGAGTGCCAGCTGCCCAAAAGCGGCCACCGCCAATGCAGACTGCCGCGCTGGCATCGTGTGCGGGCTCTGCCGCCCTCTTGGGCAGGGCGCAAGGGCCCAGTCGCAGTCGCACGACCTCCATCAACATCTGATCGGCCGGCGCGGTAGTCATCGCAGCCCCTGGAAGCTGCACGTTTACACGACTGCGCAACGCCTCTCCTGTCAGCAGGCATTGCGCCCGGGCAGCAGCACGGGCTGTGGTGCTGTGGCGCCCTTCGCCCTTGCGGCTGCGCCTCCTGCTGCACCCACAAGCCCAAGGGCACCCCCGGCGCGCCCCGTTCAGCCGTGCATATCGTTGGGGCGCCGCTCTGGGTCGCTCCTCCTGAGACCGGCGAAATGATCAGTGACACATACCCATAAACCGCAAGGCGCCAACGCTATCCTCCTTGCTTGTTTGGGCTTCGACACCTGATGCATAACAGCCCATACATCAACAATGGGCCAGCCGCCTCAACCGCGACCCGCGCCGCCGCCACTGCCGGTCCCCGGCCTGGTGTCGGCGCCGGCCGCGGGGCGTGCGTGCTGCGGTCGCCCAGTCCGGGACACATCCAGTTCGGCGTGCCCCAGTTACGCTAACGGAGCGTTTGGGCCTGGGCGCCTCAGTGCACACGGGCGGACGCGGCGCACCGATCAAAAACCCCCATCTATCAGATGCAAGAGGCACACTCCAGCTGCCGCGGTCATCGCTCTGCAATGTATCAATGTTCCAGTTGCCTGCCAATACCAAGCCCCCTCGTATTTTGCATGCAAGCGGCGCGTGGCCCCGTGCACGTGCGCTGCTCAGGCATTGTTGTGCCCGCGCGCACCCGCGCGCTCTGGCCTTGCCCTCTGCACAGCCCCAGGCCGTGGAGGCGGGACGCATGGCAGTCTGTATTCACACAAATTCTCACATACCTGAGCCGCACCCACTGTGTAACCATTCATCACGGTATCTTCAGTCTAACTGGGCCCTCTGATGCGGCCTGGTCACACGTTATGTGTGCTTTGGTTGCAACTGGGCCGCGGGGCAAGCTGGGGGCGGGTGTCAGGGAGGGTGCGGCCGCGCAGGGGGCGCCTAGGGCGTCCTGGACTGTGACGCAGGGTAGGTGGGCGCCTCCCAGCCGGCGGGCCGGCGCTGCGGCCCCGTGCCTGCAACCGGCCAAGGTGGCACCCGCCGGCGTCCCGAGTGCGTGGCCGTTCCCTGTTGTTCTCCATGCAGCCATGTGGGGCCACCTTTGTCAACCCTTTTCCCAGGTTGCACTGCTTCAAGAAGGGGTTTCGTCAAACTGGTCTCTAGGAGGGGATCTTCAACCTTGACCAAGATGGGACTTACACCGGACGGGCCGAAAGCGATGCTGGCACCCACACAGTGCCAAAAGCAATAAGGCTGAACCCTGGAACACTCATCTTGCGTACACCGCCGCGATCGCCGCGGACAACCGCTCGCACCGATCCGCGCACCGCGCGTCCCCGGTCGCCCGCCGCAGCGCCGCCGCGGCGCCGGCCAGGCGCGAGGCGAGGGCGCGTGCCTCTGCCTCGTGCGCCAGCCACCACGCCCGTGCCGCCTGCGAGCACACCACCGACTGCACCGCCT